AGTTGAACCAAGTCTACAGTTGCGACTGCAATACACAGAGAGAGACACAACATAGACACACAGAGAGAGACACGGAGAGAGAGACACAGAGAGACACACACTGAGAGAGACACAGACACACAGACAACAACAACAACAACCGCCATTCGCCACTAAGTGGCGGTGACGTCACCACGACGCTTGTGCCAGGCCATGTGCACCTTGAGGCCACGTGAAGTGTCGAACGCCCGCTGGCAGGAGGTCACGAGGCAGACCCAGGTGCCACGGGTCGAATGACCGAGATGACTGGCTGATGCGCCACCTGTGCCCCTACTGTACCAACTTGCTGTGCTTTAGCCACCCGGCGCTCCGCTCATTGTTGTGAGCGTCGCTCCTCCGCCATCCGTTGTTGTTGGAGGGCGACTGCCTCCAACTGCCCAGTAGCGTCCTTCACGAGCCTCCTCCACTGAGGCCGATCTTGACACCGCTGGTACCAGTCATCGGCAAGTCCACTCAGCTCCACGTCCTCCTGTACCACATCACTCCATCTCTTCTCTAGCCTGTGCCGCGCCCATTTAGCCCCCTCGATCCGGCCGAACAAAAGCTGTATAGGCATGCGGTGGCTGGGCATGCGGGCTACATGACCCAGCCAACGAAGCCTTGCCTGCCGGAGGAGCTCACTGATGGGACTTTGCCCAGATCTTGCAAGGACTTGTGAGCTCCTCACACAATCCAGCCTGGTTAAACCCAGGATGGATCGTAGGCAGGCCAGCCTAAATGTTTCCAACCGGCGAAGATGCTCCACTAGGGGGGTCCACGTTTCGCAAGCTTAGAGAAGGGAGGGAATGACCATGGCTGAGAAGACCTGAAGCTTCGTGTGGCGCGACAGACCAGGTAGCTTCCACACAGCGTTACGCAACCGATGAAAAGATATTGCGGCTCGACTGATTCGGAGTGAGACCTCTGCTGATAAACTGGAGCCGGTCATAAGCACACTGCCCAGGTATGGGAAACTATCCACTCTCTCCACAACTGCCCCATCACCAATTGGGAGTTGTGGGGGTGGAGTGTCCGATGGTACAAAATACCCAGGCAGGTGCTTAGTTTTGGTGGGGCTGATGGTAAGGCCCCACCTCTTAGTGGCACGCTCCAGTCTTAGCAGCAGCGTCTCAAACTCCTCTTCTGAATGAGCAGCTATTACCAAATCATCGGCATACATAGCGTGGTTGACCAATAGGGAGCCATCCCTTGATCGCACCCGGGCATCGATCAGCCTCCCATTATATCTGTACCAAATGGAAATTCCCCCGGTACAGCTATTGAAGGCTTCACGAACTACGCGGTCAAAATAGATGTTAAATAATATGGGAGCCAGAGGACATCCCTGTCGCACCCCAAGGTGTACAGGGAAAGGCTCCGACTCCCGGCCACGTAGTTTTACCCGGGCCCGCTCACCATCATGAAGGTCCTTAATGATCGTGAGCAGAGGGTCAGGGACTCCGAAAGCACGAAGAACAACCCAGAGCCCAGTCTTACTGATGGTATAATAGGCCTTGACCAGGTCAATAAAGCAGAGATGTAGGTCTTTTGGGAATTCCCTACACCTCTGCTGTAGCAGACGGACAGAAAATATGGCATCTGTGCAGGACCGCCCTTTCCTGAAACCGCATTGGGGCTCCGCAAGCCTCTCCTCAGCGTGCCTAGCAAGGCGATGTTGAATAATACTTGCCAGGACCTTACCCGGCACACTGAGGAGTGAGATGCCCCTGTAGTTGTTACAATCGGTACGGTCCCCCTTCTTAAAAAGAGGGACCACCAGGGCATCCTTCCAGTCCTGCGGAACCCGTCCAGTGGTCCAGACTGTTGTTATGATGTCATATAGGGCAGTCTGTGCACAAACGCCACCCTCCCTCAGCATTTCGCTTGGGAGATCATCTCTGCCCGGTGCCTTCCCTGGTCTCAGACTCCGGATCGCCCTCAGTACTTCCTAAACAGCTGGCACCTCAGCCAGCCACTCACAGGGGATGACCTCTTCCAATATTTGAGGCACCGCAGCCTCAGCAGGGTTATCACCACTTTGTGCCATGATGTTTTCCTGGCTGAGAGAATTTCCCTCCCCCAGGACCTCACAGAAATGCTCAGCAAATCTGCAAACCTGTTCCTGGGGGTCGGAGATTGGATCACCGTTTTTTCCTCTAATGATGGTAATAGGTGTGGCGCTGCAGGTTACTTTTTTGATGGAGTTAAATAGTGATTTGTGATCACGGGCCACTGAGGCAGACTCCATCTCCTCAGCAACCCGCGACCACCACCCATCCTTACAGCGCCTTACGGCTCTCCGAACTTCCGAGCGAAGGCTGCGGTAAACCTCCTCATTCTCTGACGTGGGATGCTGTAGGCGATGAGAGTGGGCCTGTCGCTTTTTCTCAATTAACCTGAACACCTCCTCTGTCAGCCAGGGTTTCTGGGGAGGTCTGGACCGCGTACCCAAAGCAGCCATTGCAGCTGCATGAGTCACAGTCTTAAACCTCGCCCATTTACCCTCGACATCAGGTGGAGTGGGGGACGATGCCAACCCCAGCTGCAAGCGATGATGAAATTCTCGCTTGCAACTTTCATCAGCTAACTGAGACCAGGCCACTTTTGGTTGGAATGGGATCCTGGGTGTACACCCACCACCGGAGTGGAAGAAAGGCAGGCGCATCTTACAGATGACTAGTCGATGGTCAGAGGGCAGATCAGCTCCACGGTAGGTCCTGGTGTCAAGGACATGGGCTCGCATCCGCTGGTCCGTCACTATGTAGTCCAGCAGATGTTCTTGCTTGGACCCGGCATGTATCCATGATGTTGTGTGGATGCGCCGATGCCGGAAGAGCGTGTTGGTAATTACAAGCCCATGGGCTGCACAAAAATCTAGCAGCCTCCTACCGTTATTATTGAGCTGATCTGGCCCATGCCTTCCAATCACTCCAGACCAGGTGCCAGCATCATGACCAACTCGGACATTGAAGTCACCCAACAAGATGACTCTGTCCCGAGTGGCCACTTTAGCCAGCACCTGTGACAGGAGGTCATAGAAAGCGTCTGACTCATCGGCTTTGCCTGCATCCCTCCACGGATGTTCGTCTTCGGTGGGGGCATAAGTAGCCACGACCACCACTCCTCGCCTCTGGTTGATGGGAAGGCGATCCCAAAGTATCCTGGGGCTTACAGCTTCCCACACCTGACCGCCACGCTCCCACGCCCCCTTCATTCTTTTGTTCAGAAGAAGAGCCACACCCTGTTGTTTGGCAGTCTCCTGCCCCGAGTAGAGGACTGTCCACCCCTCATGGTGGCAGGAGCCAGAACCGGTCCACCGGACCTCCTGAATGCCACAGAGATCCAGGCGGTACCGGTCCAGCTCCCGATAGAGGGGTGGCATACTCTCCTCCGCAGTGAGCGTTTGAACATTCCACGTGGCCACCCGCAGTGGTTTTTTGTTGTTTCTGGAGGAGCCCCGAGGGTGAAAATTCAATCTCCTGGCTCCGCCAAATGGGGTTTGGCCAGTAGACGTCATAGATGCCTGTCCCCCCGGCTCCTCCGGGACAAGCTGAATTAGATATTTTGCAGGTCGCTTTGTGGTCATGAATTGAAGGTGGAGAGATTACCAGCTCCTCACACCTGTCCAGAGCCCCCATTTGGCCGCTGCAGTGGTTACAAAGGCCATGAGGGGAATGGCGAATTTAAGTTGGCCCTCCCCCCACGGCACTGCCCATCACAGCGTTGCTGTCCGGTACGAACGAGGAGGTAGGGGGTTGTTTTGCCAGACAACAACCGCCATTCGTCACGTAGAATGGAAATAATAGTATTTCCATTCTACGTGACTTTACCGAAAGAACCAGAATGGAAATAATATTATTTTCATTCTACGTGACTTTACCGAAAGAACCAAGAAAAATTGTTCATTGTTTGCAGGAAATATTTATTACGTTGCTATTTTAACACTGGGTTCCATTCACTACCGTTTGCATGTTCGGTCGACCTTTTGAATACTTCTTCGGACGCATTCCAGAATATTTGAAACTGTAAAGTTTTCAGCAACCACCAAATAATTTCCTCTGAACCGTAACCTGAAAATCAAGTTGAGTGCTGGGGTTTTGCTCCCTAAATTTTACGTCAAACTCTATATTGGCAATTTAGTTCTATCCTCCACACATGTTGCACTGCTTTTAATCAACACACGCCCAGTGTCAATAGGCGCATTCAGCAAAGGTAACTTTAAACCCAACATCAAAATAATTACCGTCAACAAATAATAACCATCGAATGAATAAGGGTGTCAGTTCAATCCCTGGTTGGGGGACGACTCAACTCACATCGTCATCACCATCATCAACACCTCCGGCCGTCGTAAAGTGAGCACCACAACTAGCCCCGCCATAGGAACGAGGCACGCCCGGCCGCCTTTGTGTCCCCGACAAAACACTGTGTGTGTACACACTGTGTGTGTGTAGACTGTTTGTAGACACTGTGTGTACACTGTGTGTGTGTACACACTGTGTGTGTGTACACTGTGTGTGTGTAGACTGTGTGTACACTGTGTGTGTACACACTGTGTGTACGTTCACTGTGTGTGTGTACACTGTGTGTGTGTAGACTGTAGACACTGTGTGTGTGTACACACTGTGTGTGTGTGTACACTGTGACGGAGAATCAAACTCAGGTGGTCGGTTTCATCGCGCACTGTTCTCAGCACGGCGACACCCGGTCCATCCCACGCGTTATTAAAAGAAGCAACCAAATAGCATGACTTAACGTCGAGATGAAATTTTTATTTCGATTTAAAGCATTGGTTCTTAACCTGGGTTCGATCGAACCTCAGAGGTTCGGTGAGTCAGTCTCAGGGGTTCGGCGGAGGTTATTTTTTCCAATTAAGAAGGGTTCAGTGAATGCGCATATGAAACTGGTGGGGTTCGGTACCTCCAAAAAGGTTAAGAACCACTGCTTTAAGATGTTTTTTGTTCACGTTTTAGTTTTTTGTTTGTTGCGGTTGCACCCGATTCAAGAGCCGAATGGCTCACAGGGCTCTACCTAATAAATGAACTTTGGGTAGCAGCTGTTGGCTTGTCGGAGCAGCAACCCCAACTTGGGGTGCTTCCTCCACTTCCTCCTCCCTTGGTGGCTGTGCCAGACGAGAGCGGCCGACTTATTTGCGAACTCGTCGTGAAGATTCCTGCTGCACAAAACACCTACAAATACAAACAGCGTCTTACAACAATGCAACTTAAGATGTGGATAGCGACCGGACGCATTTGCAGCTCAGGATGTGGTACGGGAGAGTTTGATGTGTGCATGACCGTGTCTCGCATTCATATATATAGATGACTATGGAACATCAATCTCAGTGCAGTGATAATACAACGCACACTCAAGCATGACTTTGGTTGTTTGGAGTGTAGAGATGACAATCAGTAGCGATTAATAATTTCAGAACGGTGTAAATTCCAGCGCAGAGCGCTCATGCCCGTGACAATGCGTGATTATAGTCACTAACTCGTCTATTCGGTCATGAATCCTCCCATAACGGAGTCTTCTGTGCTCGAGTTACGGGAACTGTGGTGTCGTCTCTGCCTTCCTCTCTACTCGGTCGGATTTCCTCCCAGCTAGAGGTCGCAACCGGGTATCCGATACCCGTACCCTACCCGATACCTGGCTACCCGTACCCAGCCGGGTACGGGTACCCGTTTGCGACCCTGGTGCGGCCGGGTACGCGTACGGGTAAGGAATCAAAACCCGTTTGCGACCTCTGCTCCCAGCTCACGGGGAGGGGGGGGGTGGGCAACGTAGCAGCGCTCTCATCTCTGTTGGTGGCCCTGAGCTCACCATGGAAAATTCCAGTCCCACAGCGGGGGCCATGCGCTCTCCACGGAAACCCGCGCTGTTTTTTGTTACTTTCCGCGATGCGAGGTTCGTGGTGCCCCACTCCGGAGAGATGAAATCGGCGCAGACCCCCCCTCCCCCCACAACAAACGCACCCAGCGGAGTGAAGAGCACGGATGGCACCTAGACAGCTCGAGTCCCCACTGCCCCCAGTGAATGTTCAGACGCCCTCGTACGTTGGCTACATTCGTCTGTTCGCGTTGTCTGTGGCGGCTGGCAACGCACAGACGAGTTAAACGGAGCAACGGGCGTGGCCTCACCCTCCGTTCGTTCCAGATCTGACCACGTGTTGTCCGTCTCCACCCCTTTTAATATCTGGGTCACGTGGTACCTTTCCACCAATCCTGGTTAACCTCTATGGAATCTTCTAGACTCCATCGTACGCTCCCAGGACCACGCCCCTGACTCGTCCCCCCATTGGCTGTGGCTAAAGCCAGCAGAACCAATCCTCTACTTACAGATGTCACCTTCCCATTACGTCAGGGCCACGCCCCTAGACTTCCCCCCATTAGCTATGGGCCAGGACCGGCAGGGCCAATCATCGTACGAGGTGTAATCCAACAGCAACCCGGATATGTCCTCACATCACACAACAAAGACGGCGATCGCATCGCGCGCTTTCAGGTGACTTCCATGGCCGTCTCGATCGCTCTTCCTGCCGATGTCAGGAATCCACCGGAGCCACGCACTTTTCAACGTGCGTTGAACGCTCATGTCATTCGAACCAATAAGCACGGTTGTCATCGTGCGGCGCGAAAGAAGTTCAACACACACAAACGTTCACTGTGCAGCGCAGCTACTACTATCCCACCTCGTTTTGCGAAACTGACGTTCGGGTAACGACACGCACACACGTGCACAATAACGTGCGTACACCCGGCAGCGAGACGAATCCACAGACTTACCACCGGACCGCATGCCGGACCGTGCGTCGCGTGCCCAACCAACCACCCCCAGCCCCCACACGCGCCCTCTCTCACCTTGGCACCCATCCACCGCCTGCTCGTAGCCGGGGCCGCAGACGCACCTCCCGACGGGCATGAGCCACTTGCCATCGGCGCTGCAGAACATGCGCGGCGCCTCCTCCTCGACCGAGTTCTCGACGCATGCCCCGCGCACCTCGACATGCGAGGAAGATTCGGCGCCTGTCACCGTGTCGGGGAAGACGGCCAGGCCGCGCACGGTGCGTGGGCAGCGCTTGTAGTACACGCGCACGGACACGAGCGCGATGCATGCACCCACATCCTGGAAGGCCAGGTGGAAGCCCTTCTTGGCGAGGGGGCCCACGTCACGCACCTCCGTGTTCAGCTTCATGATGCGGCCGACCAGATCGATCTCGGTGAAGGTCTCGTCGGCCACGATGGTGTCCACCTTCACGTACTGGCTCTCGTGGATGCCGGACACGCGCTCGCTGTCCGACTCGTGGTAGTAGACGTTGAAGGTCTCCTTGCACGTGCCCGAGATGCCCGGGATGCTGTTGCAGTCGCGCAGCGTGAACTTGAGCTCGAGGAAGACGTGCTGGGCACCGCCGCGCATCATCCAGTTAGTCCGCAGCCAGTTGTTCTGGTTGGGCTTCATCACGTGGCAGACTTGGTACATCTGAATGGGCGTGTGGAACTCATCGTACCCGCTTATTTCTTCCCACTGTGTTTGTAGGGGAGGGTAGACAGAGAAGGTTGGTGGGTGGAGCGGGAGGGGGGGAGTGGCGATATTTTTGTTAGTGAAATTGGAAGATCGGGAGTTTAAAGTCTCATGATCAGAATCAGAATCGTTCTTTAGCGCTGGGGGAAACTGATGAGCTACGAAGTGTCAAGTCGGAGTGGGTCAGATTATCGGGTCCATTCAGCTCCTTGTCTACCCAGGATTCACATTGCGAGCACCACTTTGTAAGTAATCAACGGCGGTTGCTCTAAGGCATCTCGGCCCCCGCCATAGGAATGTGCAATTTCCACCAATGGCTAAGAAAGGTAAATGAGATGAGCACCTCCAAATGCTCAATTGAGCATCATGGCACTCTGACTTGTAATTCAGTCTTTGGCCTCTATGTACAGTACTTTATATAAGATTCACAATTGGATACAACAGCATTATGCAATTTAGTCGCCAATATATAGATTAATAATAATAGTTCAATTTCTAACGTGCGCAAATTTGCAGACGTAGTGGCCGCAACTCAGAGGCGCGGAGCCAAGCTCAGAATCGCTCAAAAGCATGATTGTAGAGGTGAGTTTTTAAGTGTCTCTTAAAGGAGGCGATTGAGGTGATGCTGTGCAGAGGATCTTGGTATCAAGAGGAGGTCGTGAGTCGCGCTGTGCAGGCATCTGCCGTGTGCTGAGCTGCAAGTTGTCAATAATGAAGAGAGGTACGGTGGGCAGGCCGATATGAAGGCATGGTGGCAGAGGTAGGCGGTATTTTGCGTGACCCTACTGGTGATGGGTAGTCAGTTGAGAGCACGGAGACAAGCTAGTGAGTCGAGACGGGGATGAGTGTGGGCAATGACGACGCATGCCAGGTTATTTTGTAGTCTTTGAAGTTTCTTTAGGCTGCCAGCGGAGGTCCGGACTAGGACGGAGTTACAATAGTCAAGGCGAGACCCAACTATGCAACATGCCAATGTGTTGGCAATTTCAGTAGAGATGAGAGGACGTATGTGTCTAAGAGCCTTCAGGTGAAAGTTACATGAGCTGATGATATGGTTGGTTTGACCGTCGAAGGATAAAGTTGAATCTAGGATGACACCGAGGTAGCTGAAGTGGTCGGTGAACTTGATGCTGTGACCGAAGATGTGTATGTGTGTGGGGAGTGCTGCTGAATTAAGACGTTGCTTGGTACCTAACATGATGGCCACTGACTTTTTCGGATTAAGGGCTAGGTTGTGTGCAGTGAACCATTGTTGCACGGTGGTGGTACATTCCGAGAGCCTCTCGAATCCAGATGCATTTCTAGAATCGATGGCGGTGAATATAATCGTGTCATCCGCGTATGAGTGATGCTTAACACCGAAGCTTGCAATGAGCCGGCCGATCGGGGAAGTGTAGGCTGTGAAGAGCAGGGAACCTAGTACAGAGCCTTGGGGAACCCCGCTTAATGCTGTTGTTTCAGGCAATGTGAACATGCCCACCCTGACTGAAGATTGCCGGTCAGAAAGGTACGAAACTATCCACTTGAGTGCTGAGCCGCATATACCAAAGTCGGATTTCAGGAGGGATGTAAGGAGCAAATGGTTGATGGTGTCGAAGGCTGACGAAATGTCCAGACTTATAAGTGCAACAGTTGAGCCGGAATCAATGATCGTTAAAATGTCATCAAGCACTCTAGTGAGTGCTGTTTCTGTGGAATAGTTTTGACGGTAAGCTGACTGGAAGCAGCAGTAGTTTGCGGAGGAGGTGATGTGTGGTTTTAGCTGGGCGAGGGCTAGTCGTTCAAGGAGTTTCATGGTCATCATTGCACGGATTGAATGTTGTCCTTCGTCACACCTCCGATTAGCATGGTTAGCTTCGGAGGGTACAAAATAAGCTCAACGTGAGTATGTGTAGTGAGCATAAGTAGTGCAGGAGACGTCGATGGAGGCAACACTTATTGATTAAAAAGAGCTACGATACAGCAGCACGTAGCGAACCCTAACACTAGAGCAGTGGTTCTTAACCTGGGTTCGATCGAACCCCAGGGGTTCGGTGAGTCAGTCTCAGGGGTTCGGCGGAGGTTAAGACACACACCCGACTCATATGATTGTGCACCAGTAAAAAATATACCTATGTTTTTAATTTGAAAAAATCATATTTTATTTTTACAATTAAGAAGGGTTCGGTGAATGCGCAAATGAACTGGTGGGGTTCGGTACCTCCAAAAAGGTTAAGAACCACTGTACTAGAGGATGTGTTCCTCAGCGAACGTTCCTCGTGAGCTCCTACTACACCCCTCTATCTCAGACCATCCTAGTGGAGGCTAACTGACCTGGCCCAGTTTCGGCTCAGGTCCGACCCTCAGCCACACGAGTCTGGCCCTCACAAGGACACAGACCTCGCTGCTCTGAGGTCGCCCCTGGCTTGCCCTGCTCGGCTCTTACAAGTGTAGAGCCGTTGTAGAGCCGTTGTAGCCGTTGTAGACGGCCGGATTTAGACTTGCCGCGGATGGCAAACAAACACAATGGGCGTGGCTACATCGGGACGCTGAAGACGGTGTTTACTAGCGACGTCCGCGTTGTTATCCTGGGGGGCTATTGCGGAGCTGGGATCCCCCACAGCCCCACCCCTCAAGGGGGGATGGCTATTTAAGGTGGCGAGCCGGACGGCTCGGGGTCTAGTGTTAAGCTGTAACCAGTGAAGAAAGAAGACTCGCTAGACAGGCCCTGGAACTCCCTGGGATCGCTGCCCTTTTCAGGGCCGACCAGGCAAGCCAGCGGCGTGGCCCTAAGAGCCCAGGACCGACGCTCTTCTAAGAGCCGGACTGGGTATTCCGGGTGCCGTAACCTAGCTGTAAGCTAGCTGTGAGTCAGGCTGTTGTGTTCCGTAATGTAGACGGGTGAAGGGGCCGATACCCCTTCAAGTACTGTAAGTTGCCTGTTACTCGCTGGTGTTAATAAACAAGCGTGTGCCTCCAACTACGTTGTCAAGTCTCCGGGAACCTTACTACATCTGGTGTCGGAAGTGGTTCTACAAGGATGGAGACACGACGGACAACTCCTACCAGAGAGACGGGGGCGGAGGAAACCTCGGCTGACTTTGAGCCAGAAATGGCTGAGGGCGGACTCGAGCAGCAGGGGCCAAGTCCACCCACACCGCAACGTCAAGACGAGTGGGAACCGTCGTCTGAAGGACTGTGGCTGGCCCACTCTCGACTGGCAGAATTGCTCTATGCTGCAGCCACCACACTGGAACAGATTACCCGACTGGGGACGGGAGGAGCTGCACGGGGCGATGGCGGCCAACATACAATGCCGTTTCCCGCCATTTCCAGAGACGCTGAGTTTGGAGTTCCCGCCATAAGTACAGTGCAGGCTGACGGCGAGGCGGGGCTACGTCACGTGGCCGATACTCACCAACCACAAGCCACGTCGGCAGCGGCGGACAACAAAACGTCACCACAGCAACCGCCGTTGCCACGCGCCCAGCCCGCCAAAGCTGCACGGAGTGACGGAGAGCGTTTTTCGCCTACGGACGCTGCGCTGCAACAGCGACTGCCACCTCTCAAGGAATTCGTGGGAGGAGAAGGCGACTGGGGTGGCTTCCGGAGGCGCTTCCTCGCCCATCAAGAGATGGCGAAATGGACCGATGACGAGGCGTTGCGTGCGCTGCCGGCGATGCTTGACAGCGATGCCCTCGCCACTCTCACCTCGGCACCAAGGGCGAAGCGCGCCACGCTGCAAATGGCGCTGCAACTCCTCGCCGCGATCTATGGACCACCCTCGGACTGTCGCCAGCTGTTTTACGATCGCCAGCGGGGCGCCAAGGAGTCGCCCCTGGCGTACCGCACGGCTCTCCTGGCCCTGGTGAAAACGGCTTTTCCTGGATGGACGAGGATGGGGTGGACGCCATGGTCACGGAAAAGCTACTGCTGCTGGCCGATGATTTGGACATCGTCGTCTTGGCTGAGGACGACGCAAAAATGTGTTCGTTGACGGCCGCCCGGCACATCCATGCCAACCTGCTGGCCCAACGTCGGAAGGCCAGCAAAGCGAAGGCCAGCCATACCGTGGCTGCATCCGCCCTCCCAGCGGAAGACATCTGCGCTGTGGATCGCCCGACGGAGTGGAGGTCCGGAGTACGGCCAGCTCGGGACGGACCGAGCCGCCGGGATCAGCCCAAGCCATCAGCAACACTCACGCGCTGCTACAACTGTGGCCTCCAGGGCCATGTGGCGTCAGGATGCCGGGCTCCTCGGCAGCGTGGTGCGACGCCTCGCCAGGACGTCGCGCCTCGACCCAAGTCTCCCCAGCAAAATCCGGCGAGTCGTGGCACCCCACATGGTTGGCCCACACACACACCTGCCACTCACTCACACACCGCAACGAACGGGGGTCAGAAATTATCCATTGTCACGCCAAAACGTACCTCCGTCGGGTGTGCGGTCCAACCGACCCAGTGGTCCGAGTTGGCTCATCGTGTTGTTGCCGCGTCGTCGGGGTCGTCGGTTGTTGTGGGACATATTGATGGGGTCGAGGTACGGGTCTTGATTGATACGGGAGCATCGGCGACTATTGTGTCTGATTTGATTTACAACATTCTCCCCATTCAAAGTCGTCCCTTGCTCCCTGTTGATGTCCCATGTTACGCTGCTAACGGGGGTTCGTTGGGCATTATCGGACAGATCCGCGCGCAAATTTGTATTGGGGACATTAAATTATCCGGCCCGATATTGGTCTCCTCCTCGCTGGCGGTTCCGTGCCTGTTGGGGACGGATTTCTTGGCCAAAATGCCCATTCGTATACTAATCGACCAAGGATGCATTGAACTTCCGTCGGGGCGACGTATGGCCTTTTTGTCATCCCCCGCTACCACTGTCCGTACGGCGTTTGCGACGGTACCGGCGCTGGTCGCGAGGACGGTACGTGTACCGCCGGGAGCTCAAATGCTCGTACCTCTTAGGCTGCGCCGACCGTTTGGGGAGGGCGTCGGGGATCGGGGGGTTCTGTTGGGACCATCGAG